TCAAGTTCTGTATATGATTAAGCATGCAACCCTTGCCCTATAAACACAAACATCCCTCTCTCTGAGTCTGTGTTATGGGATAAGATGTTTTCCCCTAGGGAAGCAAGTCCAGGCAGGCTGGGATTGGAGCCTGGGACTTGCCTCGCTGGAGCGGCTGATGGAGAGATAATTCGAGCGGGTAACAGCAGCCCGAGGGCAGGGAGGAAAGCTCTCCGGTCTGTCCGATCCTGTCATATTCTTCATTAGTTATCCATGAGAATTCACGTTTAAATTATGTAACGGCTCGTGTTCTACAATTTTGCAGCAGTTTATTTGTTCTCTGAGGCCTGCTGATATATTTATCAAGGTTATTTTGATTTAAAATTGTACATAATTTAGTTTAAATTTTCTGTTTTCTCAGACTTTTAGAAATAGACATGTCTTAAAAGATAAAAAGTAGAAAAAAAACTATGAATGACCCGTAGTTGGAATCCAATACTTGAACACATGCAGGCAAAGTTGGACATCCAACTTGGAAACTCATGTGGAAATCAGATTTTGAATAGATGCAAATGCATACTACAGTTCAAAAGTTGGGCTCAGTCATACTTTTATTCAGCAACAGCAAGAATGCATTAAACTGATCAAATGTGAAAGTAAAGACATGTAAAATATGTCAAAATGTCAATTAAATGCTTTTCTTTTGTATTTTCTATTCACCAAAGAAACCTGAAAATAAATGCATCAGGGTTTCCACAAAAATATTAACATTGCTTTTTCAACATTGCTAATTGTTTAAAAAAAATGATTTAGCTTCAAATTAGCATACGAAAAATTGGAGAGAGGCCCGGACTATGCACATGTTCTTTTTCTTTTTCTTTGCACAGACGAGTTTCAGTGCGTGGTTTCTTCAGGCTATCAATGTGACCTTGTTGCACACTAAAGAAGAAACGTGCCGAAACGTGTAAAAAATAAAAAGAACATATGCTTAGTGCGGCCTCTCTCCAATTTTTCGTATTAATCATCCAGGCCAGCACTCTTAAAGTTTATTAGTGTACATTGAGTGAAGCCTGCTCCTATCCTCACTTACTTGCTGCAAATTAGCAACAATGTTTTCAACATTGCTAATAATAATAAATGTTTCTTGAGCATCAAATCATCATATTAGAATGATTTCTGAAGGACCATGTGGCACTGAAGACTGGAGTAATGATGCTGAAATTTCAGCTTTATCAGCACAAGATATTCAAGAATAATTACATTTTAAAATATATTCAAATAGAAAACAGTATTTTAAAAACTGTGATATTTCACAATATTGCTGCTTTTACTGTATTGTACTGTGTACTACTGTATCACTTAAATGCAGTGTCACTTAAACCCGACCCAGATTATCCAGTCTCCATGCATATAACAGTGATCCACGCATCATACTGTCAATGTATTTAGTTAAACCATTGTAATCCTGATTGTATTCCCATTTTTACAATGTAATGTAATTGTAATCTGATTACTTTTTTTTTTTACGTAACTTTAACAAATTACAGTTGCCAGATTTTTGTATTCTGATCATGTAACGCCGTTACATGTATTCTGTTACTCCAAACAAAGTTCTTATATGACATGACAATCTGCTGAATACTGAATGGACATTGATGTGTAAACATCAATATCATCATGATTTATGAATGACCCGTAAAGTCTGAGTGGATCAGTTAAGGAGCTTTGCTTCATGAACATTATTTTAACATCTAACTGTATTAATTTTAAAGACCAAAATCCAGCTTTCTGTCTGTGATATGGCCCCTTTAACAAATATCAGCAGTTTTTGGCCTTTTTTATCAGTAAATCATTTATTTTTGATGTTTAACTTGTTTTTGGCTGAGCTCTGGTGTTTGTTATTTCCATCGCTGACATTCCACCATACCTCTGTCTCCTCCATCTATCTCTTTAGCTACTTTCTTTTTCAAGATCAGTCTCTTCTTTAAGCTTGTTGCCTTATTTGGTTAGGCCTATCTCTCAGCTGAAATCTATGAATACACATTTCTCTGCCTTCCTCTCTCTCCCTCTTTCTCTCTCTCTCTGTCTCAGCTGTTGGTGTAGGTCTGGCAGTTGTGTTTTTAACACAGGTTTGTTGCTGAGAACTTCAGTCCAGTGAGCTGCCTACTTAGGAAAAATATATTAGTGATCATTGGTATGCTTGTGATGCAAGGCGGTTTAAAAACATATACTGTAATTAAATAGCAAAACTGGTTTTGCTTTACATGGCTGTCAAACAGTGAGCTGCTTTAGGACAGAATAAGGTACAAAGAAGACTGGGTCAGGTATCTGAATCTATTAATTTGTTCAAAAATATATATATATTATGAAATTTTAAGTTATTTGAAAATTCAAGTGGTGCAACTAGCATTCAGAAAAAAAAAGAAAACAGGAAATTAGCTTTATCATATACACACCACTGCAGACCCTCATGAATGAGTCATGATCATTCATTCTCTTAAAATATCATATCATTTAAAAAATATATATGTTTAAATGTATTTACTGCCACTTTTGATAAATTTAAATAATGTTTGCTGTATAAAAGTATCATTTTTATCTGGCTCCAAACTTTTGTCATTTAGAGACTGAGGTGGACTTTTACTTGTCATTGACCCTGCAATCAAATGTATGGCTCTGCAAAACAGAGACTATCATAATAAGCAAATAAAAATTCCCCGTCAGCCATGATACACAGCAGGAAGTGCCCACATCTGTAATCGGCATTTGCGTGACTCCTCGGCCAGTTCTGCTAACCTGAATCTCACATGGCAACATGAAAGGGCCTGCGGGACAAAACACCCATTCAAGAATCCATTTTGTACACGCACAGAGGCTGTATCTTTGCAAAGTCCTTACAAACAACAGGAAAGAGTTCACAGATGGGTTGATAGTGAGAGCCATGGTTTATTTTCAAAATAATGTCTGGAGCTTTGTGTGCGTTTATATTAGAATGTGTGTCATTGGGACAGTGTAGTGAAGTTTTTCTTCTTCCACGCAACAGACCAGGAGACTCTTGAGGTATCTTACACGCAGAAGTTCTTTATTGCGTAGCTGTAGTCATCTCAAAGATAGTCTAAGATAGTCTAAGATAGTCTAACTAAGGGAAAACCTTCCCTTACAATTTATACATTTAGAGGGGAGGAGTTTACATTGAGGGGGGGGAGAAACTGAAACAAAGCATGCAAATGAATTAGGAACACACCCTACTCTGAGGCCATTACCAATCCGATTGAATCAGCATAACTTTTCAAATGCTGATGGTGGCAGGAACTCTGGTTCCAAAGAGCCATCCCAGAGCCATTAAAGACAAAAGGTGGAAGTCTCCCTTATAGCTAATCCAATCAAAAAACAGGACTATCAGGAAAGGAGACTCTCGCTGGAGACTTTATCAGTTTTTATACCATTGGAGTGGAAACCTAAATTAAACATTTGACAAATTTGTATTTCTCCAATTCCCCCTTTGGGAGTTCTAAATAACTCCCACACTATATACAAATTTAAACAATTAAAAGTTCACTCTTGTAACTTTTGCTAGTTACAGGCACATACTCATGTTCTGTGTCTGCTTTTTCTGTAATTACATGCTGACACAGAAAACAAACATGCAATTAGGGTCCGTGAAGTTCTTACGGATAATAGTCTTTACTGGTTGGAACGGTGATTTTCTCGTGAGAGGTGTAATTCATTTTTTGGATGAAACACTTGATACTGTGGACACATAGATTGTACGCTAATAAGAGAAACAACAGCAGAATTGCTATTTCCTTCATCCACATCCACGGTTTACCAATCAAGTTTCCGAACCATGTCGAATTGTCTTCAGTCATCTTCTTTAATCCAGTTGAGAGATCAAGAATGTCTTGTTGGATTTTGGTCAAGTTTTCTGTGGGGTCCATTAACCCGGTGCAGCACTCAGGACCGATGATGGTACAGGCTCCTCCTTGTGATGCTAGAATGTAATCCAAGGCCACTCTGTTCTGTAAGATCATTATCTTGTGTGAAGCGAGAGTGTTTGTGATGTTACCCAGTGCTAATGCTGTATCATTGGCCAATTTTTGTACAGAATTCGATAAGCTTCTGACTTGATCCAAGGCCTGCATGACACCATAAGACGGTATTAATGCTCCAAGAGTTCTTGACCACCATGTTTGTGCACAAGTGAGTCCAGGAATGCACCCATCTTCTTGGTTTGTGGTGGGAGCTGAATTTTGTAGCTGTGGGGAGCTTGAGGTGGAATGTGTATTCTCTCTGATAGCTGGTAGAACATAAACCAGTGTGCACCTTCCGTTGAACTGGCTGGGGAGGATGCTGTAAACAAAAGTTCCACATAACCAAAAGGTGTCAGGTGGTGGAGGGATCCTACACAACTGATTTACGGCAAAAAAATTTGGTAGAGATGGGTTCCTGTAGAGACAAATTTTTAAGTCATTTTCCTGTTTCTCCTCGGTTGTTAGAACATACACATGGGATTCTTCTTCTCCTCTTTCAATCACAAATCTGCAGCGTTCACGAGGAATTTCACCCAGTGGAGTCGATGCTGGAGCATAATTTTCCATGCACCAGTAGAACATCATTGGCAGAAGTACATCTGTCATGATGGGAGTAGCTGAAGTTAGGTTGCAGGATGGTAGTCCTGGAATGCAACATGAAGAAACTGGAGGAAGTGTTATGTTGTGGCATGTGTCCTTGTTGTATAATCCACTGCTATGATGATCGAATAAGGTGCACGTGTCACATTTGGAGATAGGATGCGCCACCCATGGGATTCCTGCTCCTACTGAAGGTGCGTGTGGCATGCACACGTTCTTTCCCGCAAACAAGGCGTTTCTTGACATATTCATGAGTTCTAGGAATATGTTGTTTCTGACGTCCACACTCTGTGTGATGTCCAGGATGGTTAGTAGTACGACAATCTTGATCATGTTGGATGACTGAAGGTTCCGTAAGTCTTTTCTCTGCGTTGTGTATTTTTTTTCTTCTTTTCTTTGATGCTAGTTGGCCCGGCAGTGGGTCTCGTTGTTTTTCTGGAAGTGGTGTCTTCCTACACAGGTGAAGGGTCGGTGTGTATGGGTCTCAGGACAGCCATCAAGTGGTATCTGCACAGAGGAAGAAAAGGAAAACAAAAGACAGGAGAGCAGTATTGGTTCAAACACAATGGTTGTAAACTTTTCAGAGTCTGCTATTGTTGTTCTGCTATGGTTATTCCTTCTTTCCCTGTTTCTTATTTTTAGACACCTAAAGAAAACACAGTGAGGTGGGGATGGACTAAATGGATGGGGAAAGCCTATGAGGGAATCTTCGCCCAAGGGGTGACCCCCGACGCATATGGCATTTCGGTTCTTCCCTTGGGTTCCTCACTTGTTCGTGTCCTATCCTACTCCTGTCGGTGGCGGAACAACCTTACAGTGTGACACATGAGTCCAGGTTTTTTTTCCTTGACACAATACTGCGGCTGCTGTAATCAACATTACTTGATGTGGTCCTTGCCACTTAGGTTCTAATGGCTTGTTTCTGAATGACTTTATCATGACCCATTGACCTGGAATAATTGCGTGTCCACCTTCTGGTGGAGTCTGCCAACATGACTCAACTCTCTCTTTGGCACTCTGTACTGCCTTTGTGAGGTTTTCACAGTAAGCGATCAGGGCATCTGAGGCAATGTGTACATCAGCATTTCTAAGATCAATCACACCTGGCATCTGCATTGGGCGTCCAGTAATAATCTCATGAGGGCTCAGTCCTACTGCTCTGTTAGGTGACGCTCTCATACTACACAATACTGCTGGCAGCGCTTCGACCCATGGTACTCCTTCCTGATGCATTTTGCTTAGCCTGGTTTTGATTGTTTTGTTTGCACGTTCAACCTGTCCTGATGCTTGAGGCCTATAGGGGCAGTGAAGGTTCCACTTAATCTGCAACATTTTAGCCACTTCCTTGACTACCTGTCCAGTGAAATGTGTACCTTGATCTGAATCAATGCAATCTGGCAATCCCCATCTGGGAATAAAATCATTGACAAGACATTTAGCAGTATGTGCAGCTGTAGCACGTCCTGTTGGATAAGCTTCTACCCATCTTGAGAATTTGTCTATTACTACCAAAACATCAGTTTTTCCCTTACAACGAGGCAATGATATGTAATCAACTTGCAGGTGACGAAATGGCCCTGGTGGAGCTGGAGTATGTGCTGCTGGTGTAATGGCTGCTGGAACATCATTATTTTTCTGACATGTAACACACCTCTTGGCTGTTTCTGTGGCTACATTTCTGAATTTTGGATTCCACCATTGATTTGAGAACCTGTGGTTCATCGTTGCTGGACCACTGTGCCCCAAACTGTGTATTTGTTGAGCCAAATATGGCAACAGTGATTCGGGAGCAACGTACTTTCCCCTTTGGTCCAGCAACCAGATGAATCCACTGTGGCTCCTTTGTCTAACCATGTCCATGCTTCAAACAGCGGAACGCTCTTGTACAGATCAATTATTGATTCAGGAGGCAAAATTGTTTTCTGTGCTGTACTACCTGTACACACTTGTACCTTTTCATAGAAACAAGCCTGTTTAGCCGCTACATCAGCAAGAGAATTACCTTTAGCTTCAGTAGTATTAGTTGTGAGATGTGCTTTCACTTTGATCACTGCTAATTTCTTTGGAAGTTTCATGGCAAACATTAGGTCTTTCACTAATCCAGCATGCTTAATGGGGGATCCAGCAGAAGTTAGAAACTGTCTGGTTTGCCAAATGACACCAAAATCATGAACTACCCCAAAAGCATACCTGGAATCTGTGTAAATATTTGCAATTGATCCTGAAGCTAGCGTGCATGCTCTTGTTAAGGCTACTATTTCTGCAGCTTGAGCTGAAAAATGATCTGGAAGACGACCTGAAGCAACCACTTCAGTGGTGGACGTTACTGCATAACCTGCTCGTCTGTTACCTTCAATCACTTGAGCTGAACCGTCAACAAACAACTCTAGATCTGAATTCTCTAAGGGAGTTTCTTTTACTTCACTCGTAGGTGTGTATGTAAGCGTAACACAGTCGTGAGTCATTTCTCCTTCATCCTCTAACAAAACTTCAGTCATTGCAGACATCATACATGAGGATGGGTTTGTGACAGGTGCACGCTGTAAAACAATGTTCGGGGCTGTGAGAGTGGCTAACCAATTTCCCCAACGGGAGGAGGTTACAGAGGTGACTTTTGCTTGATTCATTAGTGCGGACACTGCATGTGGGCATTTTACATGTACAGTCTGACCTAACACCATTACTGATGAAGCTTGAAGAGCTAGATGAACTGCCTGCACTGCTCTGAGGCATGGGCCCATACCTTGAGCGACTATGTCAAGTTTACCAGAATAATAATGAATTGGGCGTAAACTGCCCCCATGATCTTGCATTAGACATGCAGTCATAAAGCCTAAGTGTTCATGAACATAAAGCACAAAGGGTCTATCAGATTGGGCAATTCCTAATGCTGGTGCTTGACATAGTGCTCTCTTCAAATCATTGAACGCCTTGAGGTGAACATCTTCCATACAAACAGTATCTGAATCTTTACCATGACCTTTCAACAAGTCATAAAGAGGCTGAGCAATCGAGGCATATTCTTCTATCCACGGTCTACAGTAACCTGCTGTTCCTAAAAATGATCGGAGTGTTTTAATGGTGGTAGGTGGAGCTATAGTTTTGACTGATGCCGCTCTATCCTGTGTAATGGATCTGTTCCCTGCACCAATTGTTTGACCCAGAAATGTGACTTGCTGTTTAGCAATTTGAGCTTTGTGAAAGCTGCATTTGTGTCCTCTTTTAAGCAAATAGTCCAACAATGCTGCCAATTCAGTTTGATGTACCTCGTGATCAGTTGAGGCAATCAAAATATCATCAACATATTGAATCATAGTGGACTGTTTTACCGGACATTCTGGGTCACACAAATCACGTCTGACAGCCTGATGGTATATGGTTGGGGAGTTTTGAAATCCCTGTGGCAAACGTGTCCACTGGTATTGCTCATAGTCAACGGTGAAAGCTAACCATGGCTGGCTGTCAGGGTGCAACGGTACAGAAAAGAATCCATTAGACATATCAATTACTGAAAAAATCTTACACTCCAATGGCAAACCATTACAGATTGTGGAAGGATCCGCCACTAGGGGGGTGATTTTATCAATATGTTTATTGGCTACTCTGTAGTCTATTGTGAGTCTCCATGTCCCATTAGATTTCTTTATGGGCCATATGGGGGAATTACATGGACTGTTGGTTTTAACTAGCACTCCTTGTGTCAGCAATTTTTCTACAATAGGTTTGATCCCCTGAATAGCTTCCCTATTGATAGGATATTGTTTGGTGACCGGAGGTGCATTTCCTGTTAATTTTACTGGTTCTACACCTGTCAACAAACCACAATCATCCTTGTCTTTAGCCCAAATTGGATGATTCTGTAAGAAAGCATATTCTGGAGAGATCTCCCCACTGGTAGAAATTTGGGCTGAGGAAATTTGGATGCTAGCAGATTCTGGGGACAAGTCTAAAGTTAGATGTACTTGTCTCAGGAGATCCATGCCTAAAAGTGCACCTGTATTTAATGGAGCACATAACAATTTTGTAGTCAGAGTTTTCGGGCCAAATTGTATCTCAATGGGCGGGGTTTCATACAAAACAGAATCTTCACCTATTACACCAGTTAATGTAAATTTGGTTTTCTTGAACGGGATGTTTAAACCTTTAGCTAATTTTGTAGGAATTACTGTAGATTCTGCACCTGTATCAAGCAAAAAATCAATCTCTTTCTCCTGTATGCTACCTTTCACAAAAATTCTTTCGTCATTATGGTGGATTACAGGTGAAAGGTAGCTATTCACAGCCCCAACAATTAGTTTTTTTCCTGGTCTTTTTGTGCTCTTAGAAGAGCCTGAACGAGCTGTCCTAAAGTCTCAGTGGACACTTGTGGAACTGCGTCAGGGTTATAAGCAGGCTGAGGAGGACCAGAATTATGCATGGCATTTCTTTTTGTGTCTTGCAACTTCTTTCTACATTCTTTCTCCCAATGCCCTACTTTTCCACAATAGTGACATTTGTCTTCTTTTTTAGGCCACCTGCTTTCTGTTTGGGTTGTGCTAAACGTAGCTGCTGCTGCTACTCTCACTTTGGCTTTAACATCCGCATCTTTTTCCCATGCTGCCAACCTTTCCAGATTACTTCTTAGAGTTCTGTGAGACCAAGTCAGATCTAAAAATGGCAACGCTCTTCTGTAGTCAACTACAAGGCCATCTGACCAGATGCGGACCAGCGGTCCTTTGTCATCGAGTACACTGTCAGAATCATCCACTATTCCACTGTACGTTACAGCTGACTGACAAAACCTCTCAGTATATTCATTCACCGTTTCGTCTTTCTTTTGTACACAGTTAGTAATTCTAGACCAATCTATCTTGGGTCCTAGAATATTCTTTAGGATTTTCAAAACACCCTCTCTCATATCACTTCTACTGGCACGTTGTAGTTCAGAGGTCACTGCAGATTCAAAACTGTTGAATTCGGATTCAGTTAAAATTTGAGACATTAACTGTGTGACCTCTGTTAACGACATGTCGTAGAGACGCATTTTGCTGATCAAAACTCTTCTAAATTCAGAAAACTGTGTGCGTGCTGAAGGCAAACTCTGTGACAATCTCTCTATATCTCTAGGTCCAAGCGTTTTGGCAACAGTTTGGATATGAACAACAGATGCACTGGAAGGAACAGTTTCTGACTCTTCAATTCCCTGCGATCTTTTTCTAGCCCCACACACATTCACTGAATTTACATGCTTATCAGTTACTGATGGGATGTCTACATCTCTTTCAAAGAATGCTTGTAAATCAGGATAGATGTTATCAGGCTGACTTACTACTTCCACATCAGTTTTTTCTGCATCTTTGTTGCGGTTCAATTTCTTGGTCAATGCGGAAACTCTAGCCCGTAGCTCTTTGTTCTCTTTCTCTAGCTCTGACTTTTGCTCAGACTGTTGTGAAGCTAGTGCTAAACCAAACTCTCTATGGCAACAGATTATGCCTTTCATGTTTTTCTTTCTGATACATGCTCCTAGTACTTTTTTACAGTCATCTACCGACCAAGTCTTGTCTGGATGAATCTCATATTTCTGTGTTAGTTCTTTCCTAACTTTTTCAGTAACTATTAGGTTCATTTGTTCTCCTAACAGTGCTTTGAATTCGCTATCTGACCACAATGGAGCGGCAAGGCCACTTTTCTCAGTTGTAGGAACCAACCTAGCATTTTTCCTAACCATTTTGTGAGTTTCTTTCTTTTTTACACACAAAACCTAAACTTTCTCTGATCAAACAGAGGCTACACTTGTTTACACAGATCGACTGTTAAACCTTCTTTGGCAGACCAAAGGATATCCACAATATTACTAGCACTTTATGCTAATCTTCCCTGCCTGTACAGAGGATCAAACTTTCATCTCTAAAGTAAATTTTTAGAGGGTAACACCAAACAAAAAAAACAACACAAACTATTAGCATGTTACGCTAATCTTCCCTGAAAGAAAATGGAAAGGATCTTTCACCTTCCAAAACTTTTTAGAGGATGACCAAAAATGACTAGCACAAAAATGCTAATCCTTCTCTGTGAACAGAGGTTATCACCAAATATTAACACGTAATGTTAATCTTCCCTAAGTTTAGAGGATACCTTCTCTAGCAACGTAGAGGCACTATTCCGTTGAACAAAACTTCCCTGACTCATTCAGAGGATATCTTACAACTTCCCTGACTTATTCAGAGGATCCCAAAAATATTAACATTTAATGTCAATCTTCCCTGCCTGACAACAGAGGATATCTATCATCTTTAAAAGACCACTTTTAAAGGATAACTTTAGTTAATCAAACACTACAGCTGCCTGATAACTCTTTCTCTGACGGCACAGAGGCACAACTTTGGTACTGGTCTGGTTCTTTGAATAGAGTGAAACTCACCGAATCGTTGCTTGTATGAAAAGATTCAGTCTGGAACTCAGTCAGAAAAGTTCTTTTTGTTCTTGTTCTGGAACTCAGTTCACTTTGTTGATCTTGTTCTGGAACTCAGGTAAGATTTCTCTGTTGAAATCTTTTGTTGCTTGAAGTTTTGGATTCAGGTAAGATTTCTCTATCCGGGTCACGGCACCATCTGTAGTGAAGTTTTTCTTTCTTCCACGCAACAGACCAGGAGACTCTTGAGGTATCTTACACGCAGAAGTTCTTTATTGCGTAGCTGTAGTCATCTCAAAGATAGTCTAAGATAGTCTAAGATAGTCTAACTAAGGGAAAACCTTCCCTTACAATTTATACATTTAGAGGGGAGGAGTTTACATTGAGGGGGGGGAGAAACTGAAACAAAGCATGCAAATGAATTAGGAACACACCCTACTCTGAGGCCATTACCAATCCGATTGAATCAGCATAACTTTTCAAATGCTGATGGTGGCAGGAACTCTGGTTCCAAAGAGCCATCCCAGAGCCATTAAAGACAAAAGGTGGAAGTCTCCCTTATAGCTAATCCAATCAAAAAACAGGACTATCAGGAAAGGAGACTCTCGCTGGAGACTTTATCAGTTTTTATACCATTGGAGTGGAAACCTAAATTAAACATTTGACAAATTTGTATTTCTCCAACAGGAAACCGAAATGTTCTGTACATGAGTGTGTGTGTGTGTTTGTGTGTGTGTGAGAGAATGATTTAGCCAGTATCATTGTAAAACCCATAGAGAGTTGCTATCTGTTTCAGATGAGCTGTTATCTGCTTAGAGTTGGGCTGGAAGCTCCTAGGGGCTGTTCTGTTATGATTGAGTGCCATCGTCTGGATGATTCGGAGGGCACTTCTGGAAAATCCCCAGCTTTATATTTTAATTCAGGGTCCAGAATTAACACTTGGCAAGCAGCTAATGTGAGTAAATGGACTTTGGTAGTAAATAAAACTACCTGCCAGTTAGCTGAATACTTCATTAGGAAAATCACACATTGTTGCTCCTCTCCTCCTCTCTTCTCTCCTCTCATTCCTCTTCTCATCTCTCTCCTCTCCTCATCTATCCTCTCACCCCTCTCCTCATCTCTCATCTCACCCCTCTCCTCATCTCTCATCTCACTCCTCTCCTCATCTCTCATCTCACTCCTCTCCTCATCTCTCTCCTCTCCCCATCTCTCATCTCTCTCCTCTCCTCATCTATCCTCTCACCCCTCTCCTCATCTCTCATCTCACCCCTCTCCTCATCTCTCATCTCACCCCTCTCCTCATCTCTCATCTCACTCCTCTCCTCATCTCTCATCTCACTCCTCTCCTCATCTCTCTCCTCTCCCCATCTCTCCTCATCTTTCTCCTCTCACTCCTCTCTCCTCCTCTCACTCATCTCCTCTTCGCTCTCCTCTCCTCCTCTCTCCTCTCCTCATCAGCCAGGTTTTAGCTTGCTGGGCTTTCTCCTATAGCAGGAGTAGGAGTTTATATTCGATTTCTGATGGTAGTCTTTCTCATAGGTTGTGAAAAGGGGTCTGCCTGTGTCTGGCTGTCTCTATGGTCAGACTGTGTTCACTGAGTCTGTACATGCTCAGGACTTTCCCTTAGTTTAGGGTTGCTCACTCTACTCCTGCCAATTCATATGTTCTGTTTTGGGCCATTTAGCATTCCAGTTTACTCTGTTTGGCTGTTGCGTTTGTCCAATGTTTGAGGTACCTTTCTTTTTGTGTTTTAGTTATTTGGTTTGGTGTTGCAATCTTTTTACTGTCAGTTGTGACATGGGCTAAGGGCGTTCTTCTCTGGCTTCAGCTCTTGGTAGGTCCAGTAGCTCCTCTCCTCCTCTCTCCTCTTATCCCCTCTTCTCTCCTCTCCTCTCCTCTCCACATCTCTCCTATCTTCATCTTTCCTCTCCTCTATTCATCTCTCCTCTCCTCATATCTCCTCTCCTCATCTCTCATCTTCTCTCTCCTCATCTCATCTCTCCTCTCCTCCTCTCTTCATCTCATCTCTCCTCATCACTCCTCTCCTCATCTCTCTCCTCCTCTCTCCTCATCTCTCCTCATCACTCCTCTTCTCATCTCTCATCTCCTCCTCTCTTCCCTCCTCTCTCCTTATCTCTCCTCATCTCTCCTCTTCTCATCTCTCCTCCTGTCTCCTCTCCTCATCTCTCCTCCTCCTCTCTCCTTATCTCTCCTCTCCTTGTCTCTCCTCTCCTCATCTCTCCTTTCCTCATCTCTCCTCATCTCTCCTCTTCTCCTCTCTTCATCTCATCTTTCCTCTCCTCTCCCCCCTCCTCTCTCCTCTTCTCATCTCTCCTCCTCTCTTCATCTCATCTCTCCTCATCTCTCCTCCTCCTCTCTCCTCATCTCTCCTTATCTCTCCTCTCCTCCTCTCTTCATCTTATCTCATCTCCTCTCTCCTCCTCCTCTCTCCTCCTCTCTCCTTATCTCTCCTCTCCTCATCTCTCCTCCTCCTCTCTCCTTATCTCTCCTCTCCTTGTCTCTCCTCTCCTCATCTCTCCTTTCCTCATCTCTCCTCATCTCTCCTCTTCTCCTCTCTTCATCTCATCTTTCCTCTCCTCTCCCCCCTCCTCTCTCCTCTTCTCATCTCTCCTCCTCTCTTAATCTCATCTCTCCTCATCTCTCCTCCTCCACTCTCCGCATCTCTCCTTATCTCTCCTCTCCTCCTCTCTTCATCTCATCTCTCCTCATCTCTCCTCCTCCTCTCTCCTCCTCTCTCCTTATCTCTCCTCTCCTCCTCTCTTCATCTAATCTCTCCTCCTCCTCTCTCCTCATCTCTCCTTATCTCTCATCTCCTCCTCTCTTCATCTCATCTCTCCTCATCTCTCCTCCTCCTCTCTCCTCATCTCTCCTTATCTATCGTCTCCTCCTCTCTTCATCTTATCTCTCCTCATCTCTCCTCCTCCTCTCTCCTCATCTCTCCTTATCTCTCCTCTCTTCATCTTATCTCTCCTCATCTCTCCTCCTCCTCTCTCCTCTCCTCCTCTCTTCATCTCCTCTCTCCTCATCTCTCCTTATCTCTCCTCTCCTCCTCTCTTCATCTTATCTCTCCTCATCTCTCCTCCTCCTCTCTCCTCATCTCTCCTTATCTCTCCTCTCCTCCTCTCTTCATCTTATCTCTCCTCATCTCTCCTCCTCCTCTCTCCTCATCTCTCCTCTCCTCCTCTCTTCATCTCCTCTCTCCTCATCTCTCCTTATCTCTCCTCTCCTCCTCTCTTCATCTTATCTCTCCTCATCTCTCCTCCTCCTCCTCTCTCCTCATCTCTCCTTATCTCTCCTCTCCTCCTCTCTTCATCTCATCTCTCCTCTCTCCTCTCCTCTCCTAGTGGAGGTTTAAGTTTCAGCCGCTGTGGTCGGCACATACAGTTCTACAGATGTGAATACACACACACACACACGGAAGAAACACGTCATGGTTGCAGTCCAACATTATAATTTACATCTGTTAATTACACAGGGTTGAGTGAACTAAAGGGGCCCATCAGAAACAGAGAGTCGGTCCTGTGAGGGAGGGCGCTGGGCCACTTCTGACCACAACAAGCCCCTTTCTCTGCAGAGCCAAAAGAGACTCAGCGTAATGGAGAGCAGGAGATGGTGAAAGAGAACTGGAAAATGGTTGTAAATTGAATTGAAAAGAAGGTGGACTTAATATCGCCAGATATGACTTAAAAAAAAAATTGGTTAACCCATGAATATCCAGGTTTTCCCAGAGCTTTATTATTCGCTTTTAGTTCTTTATTCTAATTCTTTATTAAATAGGTTTTAAATATGACAAAGAAATCCATGACTGGGGGACATAGATCTCTAAATAGAAACTCCCAAAGCTTGAGTGTATGGTTGTGTAAAACCATGCAGTCGACTAAACGATACTGCTGCACGACATATGAAATGCTAGTTTTTCACATTCATTTAGTTTGTTTCGTGCCAAACTGGCATATTACTATTAACAAACTTACTTGACATCAACAGAGCGTATATTATTGGCATCCTAAGGAATAATAGAATACCTTTAAATAATGTATAGTTGATGGTACATTATCATTTGAGGAATTCTGTTTATAATCGGCTATTGAGTTTGCTGTGCTATTTTTTCAGTTGATATTAATGTTGTTTGTCATTGATGTATATGACCTATTTTTCAGCATTGTTCAGTATGGGATTTTACTGTTTGAGTCAGAGATTTAAGTCTATTTTAATTAGACCGTATACAAGCTGTTGTTGTTGTTGTTGTTGTTGTTTTACTTCTGGGCATTTGTTAGTGAAATTGACTAGTCGATTACAACATTTTTATTTAAAATTGAGTCATAGCACACATCTCTACTTGAATGCCAGTTGTCTTTAAAATACGGACGCACTGATACTATTAAATTATTTGTGTCTTTATTGATTAACTGTTGGTGAGTTTTCACTGAAGGTAATGTAGAAGTAAAAATAGGGGTATGAACAATTGAATACACAATATCTATTGATGCTCTATTAAAATATGTCTAATATCGGCTGATAACCCATGTGGTACCAATATTGTGCATCCTTACTTTTCAACAGTAACACTCCAACTGCAGTTATAATAAAAACAGCACCTCAAACTCTGCCCCATTGATAAATTATTTGGCTTACGGTTACAGGAACATCAGGAACATTTAATTTGGTGAGTTGTTGCTTAGCGTCCCATGGATTGTGGAAACAGTGATGGTTGCCAGGAGGCATGGCGATGGGGTGTGGTTGTTAAAGCAGCTGTACTGATGTGGAATTCGTCAATGCAGAAGGGAAACCACACGCACTAAAACACACGATTCACACAGGCATTAGCGTTCAGAGCCAAGGAAGATGTATTTTTAGAGTAGAACAATTTCACAGCTGACTTAAAAGGGGTCAGTGTTGAGATGAACGCTGGTGAGGAAAATATCTTCAGGTATCTGACACATACGCATTATCTCAATCCCCTCAGCCCCTCTAAAGCTCCCTAAAAAGACATTATGTGATTGATTGTTGCGTAAAAAGTGCTTGAGTTGCATTCGCTTGTGTGACTATATAACATTTACAAGTTTTCATTCTAATGCTGATTTTCCGCTCAAGATTTTTTTATAAAGGATTATCAATGTTTATCTTTTGTAACATTATAAGTCTTTATTGTATTTTTTTTTCTTTTTATCATTTAATGTGTGCCTGCTGAATAATTACTTTTGTGTGTGTGTCTAATATGTACATGTGTTCATGTCGGCACATCTGGTCTGTGTTGAGTTTCTGCTCTAATCTCTCTGGTCTTCATGTGTGATGCCCCTTAGACTTCCTCTCATGCACGTAACTCAAATCCCATTATGCATGCCAGTTGTGTTATGATTTGACATTATTATCCTTGAAAATAGATTAGTGTACTGTAAATGCGAGTTTTTGTTTCTGTCTGTCTGTGTCATAAATCTAAAGCAGAAGCCTTTCTGACTAATAGAAAGAAACGACCTTGTGAATATTTCATGATTTAAATGCTGATTTGTTGGTAGACATTTAATAATTAGTGTTTGCTATGAGCATCAATTAAGAAGACATTTCGTGAGTTATTAGTTTTATATATTTCACCTAACCCCACACACATAGGGTTGTGTGATTACCACAAATGATACATCTGTGTACATTTAACAAATTA